AACTTATTTATTTTTCTTCTAATTCTTACATCCAGTAAAATGCCACACACAAATTAAATGGTAAATAAATAATTCTTTAATTAAATCAAAATATATGTTGAATAGAGGAAACAGTAGTCTTAGAAAAATTCAGTTAAACAAATAAAAATCCCTGAATAATTTCAATTAATACTTTCATATTATAAATATAAATATATGTGATAATTTTTACAATGGCAACCTTGTTTTTAATCAGATTTTTAAAATATATTAATACAATTGATGCATCTGTTCTTCAATTATTTAGTTATCTAGTAATTTCAGAAAAATCCTTTGAACCTGCTGTGGTTTGAATATCTCCTTGAAAATTCATGCAAAAATGCAATTGCCGTTGTGATGGTATTAGCACATCATGCCATTAAGGGGTGATTAGTCTATGAGGGCTTTGCCCTCATGAGTGGATTAATGTTGTTATCATGGGAGTGGGTTCATTATCACCAGAGTAGGTTGTCATAAAATCAAGTTCAGCCCTCTCTCTCTTCTCACTCTTGCTTGCCCTTCCAACTTCTGCCATGGGATGATGCAGCACAAAGGCCCTTACAAGATGCTAGAACCTTGATATTGGACTTCCCAGCCCCTAGAACTGTGAGAAATAATTTTTTTTTAAATAAATGACCCAGTCTCTGGTATACAGTTAGAGCAATACAAAACAGACTAAGAACTCATATGTTTGGCACCTCTAAGTTGAATTAAGGCCCTCAACATTTTTCTTACCTGAACCACCCTGGTGACCTTCTCTAATGTCCCTAGTATTCTTAAATCTAATCTTTTATTACTCATAGAGTGACTATATTAAAACCAGTCTAATCATAGCACTTCCCTCAGTTGGAATCTTGTCTAGAGCTGTCCAATAGAAATGTAATGCAAGAAACATATGTAATTTTAGGTTTTCCAGTACCACACTAAGAAAAGTAAAAAGAAATATATGAAATTGATTTTAATAATATATTTTATACAACCTCAATATATTCAAAACATCATTTTAACACAAGAACAATACAAAAATTAATTATATATTTTACATTCTTTTTATTTATACTAATTCCTTGGACTCTTGTGTATTTTACATTGATAGCACTTCTCAATGTTGTTTAGCTGCATTTTTCAGGCTCAATAGCCACACATGACTAGTGATTGCTGTATTAGACAGTGCAGCTCTAGTCGTTACTTATCTCCTCATCTCTATTTTCACTCACTTCCTTGCTGATCTCACCTAGTCTCATGGCTTTCAAATATCTTCTTGCCAAAGACTACCAAATGTATCTTGAGCCTAACTCTCTCTTATGAACTCTAGATTCTATATCCAACAGGCTACTTGATATTTCCAGTTGAATATTAAATAAATATCTCAAACTTAGCATGTTCAAAACAAACTCATTGTATTCCTCTGAAAACCAGTTCTATCTGTGATCTTCCCTAAATCAGTAGATGTCAAGTCACAGGCATTATCTTTAACTTCTTTCACATTCCACACCCAAATATATACTTTGTATGGAACCAGAGAAGATCCCATATTGCAAAAGCAATCTTAAGCAAAAAGAACAAATTGGGAGGCATCAATTTACCACACTTCAAGCTATACTACAAGGCTATAGTAACTAAAACAGCATGGTACTGGCACAAGAACAGAGACATAGACCAATAGAACAGAACTGAGAACCCAGATTTAAACCATCCTCATATAGCCATATAATCTTTGACAAAGCAGACAAAACCATACACTGGGGAAAATAATTTTTATTCAATAAATGGTGTTGGGAAAATTGGATAGCCACATGTAGAAGACTGAAACAGGATCCATACCTCTCACCTCTTACAAAAAATCAACTCATGTTGGATAACAGACTTAAACTTAAGGCATGAAACTATAAGAATTTTAGAAGAAAATGTTGGAAAAACTCTTACAGACATCAGCCTAAGGAAAGAATTTATGAAGAAGATACCAAAGGCAATCACAGCAACAGCAAAATTAAATAAATGGGACCTGCTCAAATTAAAAAGCTTCTGCACAGCCAAGGAAAACTATCACAAGAACAAACAGACAACCTACAGATTGGGAGAAAATATTTGCATGCTACACATCTGATAAAGGGCTGATAAGTAGAATCTGCACAGAACTCAGGAAAATCAACAAGAAAAAAATCAAACAACCCCATTAAAAAGTGGGCAAGGGAAATGAACAGAAACTTTTCAAAAGGAGACAGACTAATGGCCAACAAAATATGAAAAATGTTCAACTTCTCCAGTCATCAAGGAAATGCAAATCAAAACCACAATGAGATATCACTCAACTGCAGTGAGAATGGCTTTTATCAAAAAGTTTCCAAAAAACAAATGTTGGCGTGGATGTGGAGAGATAGGAATACTCATACTTTGCTGGTGGGACTACAAATTAGTACAACCACTATGGAAAGTAACATGGAGATACCTCAAAGAACTAAAAGTAGAACTACCATTTGATCCATCAGTCCCATTACTGGGCATCTATCCACAAGGAAAAAAGACATTCTGTAAAAAAGACATACACTGGAATATTTATAGTAGCACAATTCACAGTTGCAAAGATGTGGAAACAACCCAAGTGCTCATTAATACATGAGTGATTAATAAAATGTAGTATATATGTACCATGGAATACTACTCAGCCACAAAAAACAACAGTGATCTAGCACCTCTTGTCTTATCTTGGATACAGCTGGAGCCCATTCTACTAGGTGAAGTATCACCAGAATGGTAAAACAAGCACCACATGTACTCAGCATCAAATTGATATGAATTGATCAACACCTGGGTGCTCATATAGTAGTAACATTCATCGGGTGTCAGGCAGGTGGGAGGAGGGGATGGGTATATTCATGGGTGTGGTATACACTGTCTAGGGGATGGATATGCTTGAAGCTCTGACTTGGGTGGGGCAAAGGCAATATATGTAACCTAAACCATTGTACCCTGTAATATGCTGAAATAAAAAAAGAAAAATAATGATTTGCAAGATAAAAAAATAATTACTTCCACCACCTTCACTTCACTTCTTACCAACCTTGTTTGAGTCTCACCTGGATTTCTGCAGTAGCTTTCTAAGTGAACTCCTTCACCCCCTTCATGCTCTTCTCAACTCAGCAGCCAAAGTGATCCTCTTAAAACTTAAACCAGACTGTTTAACTAACACTGTTCATGAAACAGAATAATAACTCCAATTTCTCTTATAGTAAAAGCCAAAATCCTTACAATGGCTTATAAAGCCCTATATTACAAGCTCCCCATTATTTTTCTGACCTCTTTTCTACTACCACTCTGCTCTAGAAATACTGGCCACACTTTTCTAGAACACTCCAGGCCTATCAGACATTGAAGACTTTGTTCTGGATGTTTCCTGTCTTGGAATGTTCAGTCTTCCCATATCCATGTGGACAAAACCATACCATTTTCTGTCTTTGCTCACACGCCACTGTGGTAGTTGGGATGGCTGGTCACAACTCTTTAATTTCAGACATTAATAATACCTCTTCATACTCTTGCTGTAGTCTCAAGGTGGTTGGATTATGCTTCCCTGCTCCTTAACTTGGAACTTGACCATTTTATTTGTTTTGGCTGATATTTTAGCAGACATGGCCCAACCCAAGACTTGAAATGTTTTTGTGTGATTTGGTTTGTCCTCTTGTGTCCCTACCTTTCATCATGAGAAGTATATGTCTCCAGTAACCACTAGTCTAAGGAGGATAAGATACTTGTACAGTAGATATGGACCTGTCCTGTAGCTTGAAGCCAAGCCTGCCTGGTTCTAGCCCAGATCAGCTGAATCTCTGCTAACTCTGCATGAGTAAAAAATAAATGCTTGTAGTTGGATGTCGCTGGGTTTTGTGGTGGTTTGTTATATAACAATAGATGAGTAATAGAGTCATTTTTTTCAATAAGTTCTAACTCAACTATCTAATTTTAAATGATAACCCATATCCCTTCACCTGGTTGGGGTAGAGAACCTGTGGCCTTAAAGCCACATGTGGCCTTCCAGGTCCTTAAGTGAGGCCTTTTGACTAAATCCAAATTTTATAGAACAAATCCTTTTATTAAAAGGGGTGCAGCAGAGAAAGATGAAGCTTTTCTTGTCTCCTTTGGTGGTTAAGAAAGAACAATCTTGAAATCAGAAGGTTGCAGGTTCTCTACCCTTTTACTCTTACCATATTCTAACATACTACCCCCTACTAGAATGAAAGTGCTGTACGGACGAGGATCTTTGCTTTTTTGCTGTTTTGTTGTTGTGTCTTAGGTGCATAAAACAGTGCCTGACACATAGTGAATACTCAATAAATATTGTTTGAGTGACCAAACTTCAAATGTGATATTATAATGAGTTTCACTCAGGATTTTGTCAGGAACAATGGCTTACCACCAACCATAATATCCTTCTTTTAGGATATCCTCCTTTAAGGACAATGGCACATCACTTGCCATACTACTAGACACAAACAAAATTTACTTTAGAAATCTGTGTGCAATTCTATCAAATTCTTCTTGGATCAATAGAACACAAACATTTCATTTTTTCTCTCCATACCATTGTCTGTATTCTAGTATTTCCTCAGCAATTATGCTCTCATTTTTACTTGCCCACTGGAAAAATTAATGTCATATGGGTAGTTAAATAGTCACCAACAATTTTATGTTTCCCCAAAATGCCTTTTGTGCATCTTATCATTGTTCCCTATATTTAAATAGAGTGTAAAAAGTGGCCATTATACAAAATAGACCCTTATTATGAATGAACATTACTGATAAGAATCTAAGGGTCCTCTTATATTGATATGTTCTTTTTCAACTAGATAAAAGAATTGAGTTCCTTGAGAACAGGGATTGTGCATTTTTAGTGTTCTAACTCTGGCACACTGCTTGGCTCAGAAACAGTCATTAAATGTAATGAATATATTAATGAATAACAATCAAGGATTAGATTATTTACTCACAAACCAGGATGACCAATATGGGTATCCTATCGTTGATGTAAAAGGAACATAAGTTTTTCCAAATGCCATAATATGTAAGGATATCAAGTACGACCAGAGAACTCCCAGGGTGTGAACCATCAGGGCAGTCATTATTTGTACGGCCTAGGAGAAAAGAACACCATCATTAATTACTTACTATTTTACCATCCTTTGAAAGGGATACATATCAAGACAAAGGCAGGGTGGAAGAGGAAGGTGGTGAACTAACAGAATTTCAGTTTTCTCAACATTCAAATCAGATGAGGAGAGTTTGTTATTATTTTAAAGCCATTTGCAGCTATAATTAGTATGCATGTATCCAAATAAGTTATACTAGGAGCCTATTTATCTGAGGCCATTCAGCATGAGCCCTGGAGACCTGAAATAATTGATCTCCCTCAAGACTCATTAGTACCTGTGTGGTCAACAAACCTTGACCTGTATGGTCAATAATTCTTGACCTAGGTCAGCAACCATATCCTGCATATATAGCTCTTATGTTCTATAGGCAACTAGACTTGGTATTTCTGACCTTACCTACCCTTCTCTTATCCTACCAAACCTAGGATTTGGACTTTGATTTCTTTTGTTCTGCCCACCTCTGTACTATCTGTAACTGTGATTTGTATCCCAGTCCTGGGCCCTTTATAAATAAAAGAAAGATAGTGAAACTTTGGGATCCTTGGTTTTATGTAACTCTTCCAAGGGACCTTTACGTGGGGTGAGGGTATCAGATAATTTCTGCCCATTGAAGTCATGGGCTAGCTATGATAGTTCTGGACCATAGGAGGAGGACAATTCTAAGTTGCTATGTACAGCCCTCTAACATATCACTGTAGGGCCTTTCAATTGGTTGTCAGATAGATGCTTCTCAGGTGTGCCTCTTTCTGCCACAGCTGAATTAGGCAGTCTCCTGGCTCCTCCCACCCTCACTTCCACCCCCACACATGGGTTAAGTCTGAAAAATGGGGGAGCTATATTGGAGTTCAGAACCTAGCATCTCTTACCTTACTGCAATAATATTTCCACAATGCCTGGGGGCCCTGACATCCTTTTTCTCACAGACCTTAACACACATGACAATTTTGCCTTGAAGTTTGTGATGGCCTTCTGTTCTGGTATGTGATTATGGTGAATGCCAAGAAGTGGCTAGTTGGTGGAAATATTCCTTTCACTTAGAGATTACTCTGACTTCTAGGCAACACAAATCTACGCATTTAGTAGTACTTACAACAGGCTGTGGCAGAGGGAGGAAGCAAGGAGAACTGGGGGTGGATAGGACTTTTCCCACTGCTGCCATACTAGGCAGTTCCATCTCCTTGCTTGGCTTGGAACACAGTGGCTTTCTCTGAAGTCTGAGTTTAGTGAGGGATGCAGGATTTTTTAAAAACTTCTTATTTTTAAATAATTATAGATTCACAGGAATTTTCAAAAATAGTACAGAGCTGTTCTTGAACCTTGAATCCAGATTTTAACAATGGTTACATCTTACCATAGTACAATAACAGAATGAGGACATCGACTTGTATATAATGTGTGTGTATAGTTCTATGCCATTTTATCACGTTTATATTTGCATAATTACCACCATAATCAAGATACAGAATTATTCCATCACCACAAAGGTAGCCCTCATGCTATATCTTTATTGTCACTCTCCCTTCCCCCTCAACATCCTTAACTTTTGGTAGTCACTAATTTGTTTTCCATATCTACACTTTTATTTATTTTGAGAGTGTTATATGAACAGAATAATTCAGTATGCACCATTTGAGATTGCCTTTCTTTGTTCAGCATAATGCCCTTAAAGTTGTTGCATGTATTAATATATAGTTCATTCCTTCTTATTTCTGAGTAGTATTCCATGATACAAATGACTATACTTTGTTTAACTATTCATCTATTGAGGAGTATTTTGATAGTTTCTTCAAGTTTGGGGGCTATTACAAATAAAAATGCTATGAATAGTCATGTATAAGTTTGGAGACATCAGTTTGCAGTTCTCCAAGAAAAATGCCCTGGAGTGCTCTTGATGAGTTTAATGGTAAGTGTATGTTTAGTATTTAAAGAAACTGCCAAACTATTTTCCAAAGTGGCTGTACCATTTTATATTCTAACTAGCAATGTAGGAGAGATCCAATTTCACTACATTGTCTCCAGCATTTGGCATTGTTACAATTTCTTATTTTAGTTGTTTTAAAAGGTGTGTAGTGATATCTCATTGTGGTCTTAGTTTGCATTTCTCTGATGGCTAATGATGAATATCTTTCTACATGCTTATTTGCCACCTGTATTCTTCTTCAGTGAAATGTCCCTTTATGTCTTTGATGGTTTTAAAATTATATCATTTGTGGGTTTTTTTTATACTGTTGAGTTTTGAGAATTAAAAAAAATATGTTATAGATATAAATCCTTTGTCAGATATGTGGTTTGCAAGTATTTCCTCCCAGTCTGTGGTTTGTCATTTCATCTTCCTAACAGGGTCTTGCACAGAACAAAAGTATTTTAATTTTTAGAAGTCCAATCAATTTATTGATTGTTTTCCTCTGGATGTTTTCCTGCGGATTGTTTTCCATGCTTTTGGTGTCAGTCATGTCTAACATGTGTCTTAGGTACCAAATTCTTTCTTTCTTTCTTTCTTTTTCTTCTTCTTCTTCTTCTTCCTCCTCTTCTTCTTCTTCTTTTCTTTCTTTCTTTCTTTCTTTTCTTCTTCTTCTTCTTCTTCTTTCTTTTCTTTCTTCTAAAAGTGTTATAGTTTTACACTTTATATTTAAATCTATAATCCACTTTGAATTAATAGTTGTATAAGGTGGTAGATTTTAGGTTGAAGATTTATTTATTTATTTATTTTTGCCAATGGCCATCCAATATCCATTGCCAAGAAGACTGTACTTCCTCTATTGAATTATATTTATAAAAATCAATTGACTGATTGACTGTACTGGTGTACAGTCCAAATAAATACTTGACTGTACTTATTTTTGGATTGTATGTTCTGTTCATTTAATAACTATGCATCTATTGCTATACCAATACCACACAGTCTTGATTATTATAGCTATATAATATCTTAAAATCAGGTAATATGATTCCTCCCACTTTATTCTTTTTCAAAAACTTTTAGGTATTTTAGTTTCTTTACATTTCCATATACATTTCAGATAATCTTATCTAAATCTATAAAAAATTGCTGCTGAGATTTTGATAGGACGTGTGCCAAACTGATATGGCAATTTGGGGAAAATTAACACCTTTACTATGCTGAGCTTTCCAATCTACATGCCTTTTCATCTATGTAAACTACTTTGAATTTTTTCGTTAGTATTTGGTAGTTTGCAAAATACAATTTCCATACATGGTTTATTAGATTTATACCTATGTATTTATTTTTTCAAGTGATTGTAAATAGTATTGAATTTTAAATTTTGGTTTCCATATGTTCATATTTTGTAAATGATTTTTGTGTCCATATTCTGAAGGATATTGATCTATAGTTTTCTTCTTTTATACTGTCTTTATTTGGTTTTGGTATCAGAATAATATTAACCTCTTCAAATGAGTTGGGAAATGTTCCTCCTCTTCTGGTTTTTGAAAAATATTGAGAATAAGTGGTGTTAAGTATTCTGAAACCATCTGGTAGAATTCTTCAGTGAAAAAATGACATTGGTATTTTGATAGGGATTGTATTGAAACTGTAGATTGCTCTGGGTATTATAGTCATTTTAAGAATATTAATTATTCTTCCAATCCATGGGCATGGGATATCTTTCCATTTGTTTATGTCCTTCAATATCTTTCATTTCATTCATTTGTAGAGCTATTTTATGGAAATCTTTAACTTCCTCGGTTAAATTCATTCCTAGCTAATTTATATTTTTAAAGCTATTGTTAATGGTATTATTGCCTTGATTTAGTTCTTGTGTAGTTTATTGTTGGTGTATAGAAAAACTAAGGATTTTTGTATGTTGATTTTATATCCTGCAACTTTACTGAATTTATTTATCAGATCTAAGAGCCTTTTGGTGGAGTGCTTAGGTTTTCTTGATATAAGATAGTCACAAAAGGACAAGCGTTTTAGGATTCAACTAATTTGAGTAATATAGAGAAGTCAAATTTGTAGAGACAGAAAACAGAATGGTTGATAGGGGCCGTGGGGAAGGGAGTATGGGGAGTTATTGTGTAATAGGAACAGGGTGTTGGTTTTGGAGGATGAAAAGAGTTCTGTGGATGGATGATAGTGATGGTAGCACAATCACATGGATGTACTTAATGCCACTAAACTGTATGCTTAAAATGGCTTTGGTTATAAATTTTTATGTCCGGTGTATTTTACCACAGTTAAAAGTGTTAGTTAAATCTTATGTTTTATAAGATCTTCTCTGATACTGTGCTGGCAAGAGCATGGGGGCATAGCCTTGTTACTCCTAGGTGAGAGTGGAAGGTTAGACTTCCCACTTAGCCTCAGTTGATACCTGGCAGAGAGGAGCATGTTAGTATTTGTGGGTGGAGATAGAAGTTCAAGCTCCTCACTAGGCCACTGCTGACACCGCCATGGCTGGTGATTGCAGTCACTGCATTCATTACTGCTCCCCCCTGTGACCTCTTCTGATACTGAGGTCTGCAGTAGGGAGCTCATTCCTGTTAAGAGGTGATGAAAATCTCAGCTTTCTACTCAGCCATCTCTGATAACACCCTGAGGAAGGGTAGAGGTGTTTTGTTATGGCAAAGTGACGGTGAAAGCCTAGGTTCCTACATTAACTTTGCTGAGACAGGTAGGAAAAGTCCCATAGTTTTTCCTCCTGTGTTTAGCTAGAGTAGAGCAGATACTGTCTAAATGTTTTTTATCTTGTTTCTGGATGTATGACTGAAGAAAATAATCTTTACTTGGGACTTTTTTCCTTTACACTTATTGGTGTTTGGGGTTGCAGACTTCTTGAGCACCCAGTTTGAGATATATGATATAAAAAGAAAACCCAGGAAACCCATGACTATATCATTCCTTGGGGTCCAAGGTCCCTAGCTCTCCCTCCTTTTTGTCTGTATTTTTCAGAGTTTTCTTATATTTGTTCAAAGTTTTAGCTATAGTTTGTGATAGGAATAGAGAGAAGTGTATCTACTCTATCTTGTATAGAACTGGAAATGGGAATATTTTATTGGATGAAATAAAACCTGAACTCTGTGTCTTTCTGAATAATGGTACATATCATTAGAAGGACAGTAGTGTGGCCAATAGACCTATTTATTCTTAGACATACTTCAACTATTCCTTCCTAATACCAAGACCAGATTACGTGGATAAGGGGGTTAGGAATCCACATCTTTAACATCAGAACACTGGGAATGAGGAGAGGAAATATGAGTTAATTCTTGGTTTTATGTAAGGCTCTTAGTATAATGCTGGCAGGGGATCAGGTAGATTTTAAATAAGTGGAGGAAATAATACACTTGGGATGTTGGGAATTTTTTCCTGAACCCAGCTTTAATTTCACCGCTGATTTCACTCCTAACCTGACTCCATCATCCAGCAATCTGGGTGGATGCAAAATAATCCAGCAATGTGGGTGAATACCTGCTATATTTGATAGGGTTGACTGGGGAAACAGTGGCATGTCTCAGGGGTGTTGTTGAAAGCATAGTGCTATTATGATCACTGTTCACAAAGCTCTATGGTGTGCACCTTCTTCTAAATGTAGTTTCCACAATCTGACCTCATTTAGAAACATGTCATAGCTTAGATTGAAATAATTTATACATACACAAAAGAGATTTTTGCTCATTTCCAGACCTCAGCTATATTTGCTGAAAGTATGAGTAGGTTGTGATATTGTTGGGTCATTTAAAAGTAGTTGACAGAGTCATAATTTCTGCTTTCTTTAACTTTAATCTAATACACAGTTTATGTGTTCAGTCTGCATGTGGAAAATGCAGATGCTATGTCAACATTTCAGGATACTTTTATAAACTCTTCTCCATTTGGGGTGTTCATAATAGCATATAGTTATAATCTTTTCCCTTTTATATTTAGAAATTGCAACACTATAGTCATTTATTCACTCAAGTAGCATTTAGTTCTTACCCCGAAGACTCTTATTTCCTTTCTGATTAACTGCGGTCGATTTCGTGGCATTTTTCACAATAGAGAAATGAGAGTGTAATGTGCTTTATTTTCTGTAGGAAAATATGGAGACAAAATGGTATTAATTATTTTCTTGGTTAAGATGCTTAAACTGGGGAGGGAAATCTAATCTTACAGTTGCTCATTTTTCACTATAGTCCCTTGAGAGATGTTTTTGTAGCAAACCACTAATATAACTGTCTTGACAAAATCTATCATCTACCTCTCAGTTTTATTTACCAACTTTAAATTAGACTAGTAAATAGTGTATGGTGGCTGCCCCAATCACACCAATCTGTCTAGAAAGTATCCTCAGCCCCATATTCACAGGGTCAGAAAAATTAGAATTTTGGTTGCCATGGTTTATTCTCATACTCATTCGTGTTTTCTTCTAAACTAAAGTCTGGTTCAGGGGCCCCAGATTGGAAGAACCCATGTCACATACCTACACCAGCTATAGGGGAGGCTAGAAAATAAAGTGCTATATATATTATACTTTGGAAGTGTAAGCTTCACAAGTTAGAAACCCATAAAAATGTAGGAAGGGTGTTCAATAGATAAGAAAATTACAACTAACAGATAGCTATTGTTAAAGTTGTGTATAACTTTTATTATTCTGTTATTATGTATAACTCATATCAATTCTCCCTAGCTGCTGTATTTAATATCCATGATAATTATTCCTTGATCCTAGTTGATTGGGTCAAAGGTGAGTATCTAACTCAAGCTGGGCTCGTGATATCCTCTTTCCCAGATAGTTTGAGCTGGTCTCTTGATGAGGAGATGTAAAGACTTAGGAGCAGTATCTACTCTAATGGACAGAGAGGTAGAGAAAGTAAGCTTTGAGAATGAGAAGAATAGAGAGGACACCCAGAGAAATACAGACATGGAGGAGGAGCAGGACTCCCTGAGTTTCTGCTGGCTTTCCATTTTCTAGTTCCAGTTTCTTTAGGAGGGGCGGCTGACATGTAAATATGCTTGTTTGTATATTATAATACGTATATCTTAATTTTGCTAAAACTAGTTAAGAGACAGTTTTTGTTTCTTACAAATAAAAAGTTTTTATTTTCTAGTTGCTTTATCTTCTAACTTTTCTCACATAGCTTTGACAATCCATTCTCCTCTCTCTCCAATGCCTGATGGTTTTTTCCTTTGTCTCTTTAACCTCTTATCTGGAACCACATCTGAAGCCTGAGATCCTGTCTTCAAATTCTTCATTTATAATTTTTTTTTCTCCAGGTTGTATAAACCATGAACTATTAAGGTTTAGTTTGCCCTTGAAAGATGGCCCATTGACGCTTGAAATTGAAGAAGGTATAGAAAGATACAGTGGAAAGAGTCAAATCTTGCCAGATGTGAGTTCAAATCTTACCTTATGTGACCTTGTCCATATTTATTCTTTTAAAGACTCTTTCCTCGGCAGCAAAAACCCCTACTGGAGAGCAAACAAGAGAAACTGGTACAAAATTGAAACCCAAATAAGAGGAACGTGTTGGCAAAGCCTGCCTTCGGTGTGGCCCACACCAGACCAGTGGATCTTTACACTGACTTGATCTTAGGGCTAGAGGGACCTGATCCTTCAGGTGGCATTCTTAGACCAGGACCTTCCAGCTTCGGGAGTCCCGGAGGCAGCACCTGCCGGGTGGGGGTGGGCGATGCTTCTCTCGGTCGTGCCCTTTGTTACCTCTCGTGGTTCCAACGCTGCGGTTATGGTCAAGAGTGCCGCGCGCCAGGAACCCAGGAACCCGCGCGGACACCGAGAAACTCTGCCGGTTCCCAGGAGTAGGGTAAGGAATGAGGTGGTGGGGAGGGAGCTGGCACAGATGAACCCTTTCCTGCCGGTGATATCATCATAGGCTGTCCGCGGACCTGGGATTCCCTAGGGGGCTGCCTGTTCAGAGACGTCTCCATCAAGCAAATACCCTCTTCTCCGCTTGTCTACTAGGTTAGTACCAGCAAAAGCCTTTTCACCTTTAATCCTCACAAGGTCTAGAGGGAAGAGTACTGGTCAGCAAACCTGGGCTCTGGTCCTTAACTCTCTCTTTTGTTAGATAATTGTATGCTTGGGCAAAATGTTGATCTTTCATGTTCCTTGGATTGTTTTTCTGTACAATTGAGATAATTGTATGTTCTGTGTACCTCCCAGGTTCACACTAACTTATTCTGAATACTGAAATCAGGTTATACAAGTTTAACATCTACTGCTACAATCCTAACTTGAAGGCCATCTCCATGACGGCAGGTACCACATAGAACTTTTTTTTTTGTTTTTTGAAATCACTGAACACTCAGGATATGTGTGCTGTTTCTGGCACATAGTAGAAATGAATGAATGAATGAATTAAAGGTCATCTATTCAAACTTCCTCAGTTCATACCAAGTCATAACTTAAGGGTAAAAATTATTTGATTTGAAGGCTAACTAAAGGCATGGTTATGATAGAGAATGGAATTAACATTTATTGAGGCTTTATGCATAAGTATTTCACATATTGTATAATTCCTTCAACAGATATCTGTTAAGCATCAATATGTGGCAAGTATCGTTCCATGTATTGGAGATAAATGAATTTTATGAATTCTATGAATATAAAATTCTATGAATTTTCCCTTATGTGAAGAAAACACATAAAGATCCCTTCCTCCCCTGGAGCTTACCTTGTGGGAAGGGTGAGATGAGGGAAGATGATAAGTGTTAATGTTAGGAGAGCAGGGAAAGGCACAGAATTCGGCACAGGAGGCGAGGAGTGGCCAGAAAGGTAAGTAGACATCTACAGAGTCCTGGAATAGAAGGAAAGAAAATGTAAAATGATGGTAAAAGTTTCCTTGGGTGGTCCATTAAGGTGAGGACTGAGCACCAGTAATTTTTAGGTTTTGCAATATGGAGGTCACTGTTGTCATTGACAACAGTAGTTTCAGAGGAGTGGTGGGCCAAACCCTAACTGGAGTAAATTCAAGAGAAAACAGGAGGAGATAATTTGTGGATAATAAATATAGATCTTTTAAGTTTTGGTCTTACAGAAAGAAATGGAGGCATATATAGAAGGAGAAGTAGAGTTGAGTTTGTTTGTTTTATTTTAAACGGCGGAAATAATAACATGTTCATATGCTGGTGGGAATAGTCCACAAGAGAATGAAAAATTGCAGGCATCATCGGAGATGAGGATGGGGTGGGGAGATTTTTGACTGTGTCCTCTGGAATGTGCCTTCTATTGTACACAGACCCCTGTGTATTCTCAACTTCTTCAAAAAATTCTTTTCTAATTTTCTGCTGGTGTATTGAAATGTAGTTTATTTTTTGTTTGCCATAAGATTGGTATTAATTCTAATTAAATTATCTGTAGATAGTTTGGAATTTTCTACATAAAATAGCATGTTCTTTGCAAATAATGACAATTTTATATCTTCCTTTTATATTTTAATACATTTACTTTTCTTGTTGAACTAAATAGGACCTGGATACAATATTAAATCAATGTGAGCTCTTTTTACTAATTCTGATCTCAACAGAAAAATCTTCAACAATTTCATATGCTGTAGGTTTTTTGTAGAGCATATGAAAGATTTTCTCTTTATAAAGAGTTTTGATTTTTATCATGAAATTTATGGTGAATGTTTTTCAAATGCCTTTCCACAAGTATTGAGATAATATAACTTTTTTCTAGTTGGTCAGTGTGGTGAATTACATTGATTGATTTTCAAAAGTTTTTTATTGGAGTAAGAAACCATAAAATGCACAAATCTTAAGTATGCCCAGCTCTATTTTTATTAATGTATACATCTGCATAATCACACCCAAATCAAAATATAGAAAATTATTAGTACCCCAGGGCATCCTTGTTAGCCCTCATTCAAATTTGGTTTCTCTCACCATAATTTAGTTTTGCCTATTTTTGTGTTTAATATAAATTGAATCATGTTATATACTCTTTTGTGTATGGTAACTATTGCTAAAGATCATGCCTATGAGATTATATATGTCTGTTATAGCACTAATTTGGTTTCATACTTAATTTTATTTTGGTAAGACTACAACACAATTTATTTATCCTTTCTAGATGTGATGGATGTTTAGATTTTTTCCAGTTTGCTATTTTTCAATTAAGATACTAGAAACACTCTAGAACTTGTCTTTTATTCCAAATATGGACTAGTATCTATTGAATATCTATGAAAGGATGTAATTATTAAGTGATAGGGCATATCTTTAATTGGCAAAAATTAATTTGGCTAATAGTTTCCAAAAATATTAATTTATTTTCCTACATACACTCCACCATCAGGTATGAGAATTGCACATCTCATGAATACTTGATGCTTTCAGCCTCTGTAAAATTTTAAATTCTAGTATGTTTGCAGTAGAATTTTATTTGTTTTTTTTCATTTCCTTTAATGCTAGTAATGTTGAGCAAATTCTTTTTCTTTTTATTTCAGGATATTATGGGGGTGCAAACATTTTGGTTACATGTTACGACTTTGCCTCACCCAAGCCCAACTGGACATGTGCCCTTTCCCCCATACAGTGCTCACTGTGTCCATTAGTTGTGAATTTACTCGTCCCTATCCCTCCAACCTCCAATGATATTACTACTGTGTGAGCACCTTCGTGTTGATCAGTTAGTGCCAATTTGATAGTGAGTACATGTGGAGCCTATTCTTCCATTCTTATGATACCTCACTTTGGAGGATGGGCTCAAGCTCTATCCAGGAAAATATAAGAGGTGCTAGATCACCATTGTTTTTTGTAATTGAGATCAGAGAGAAAAAATTCTTTTTTTTTAAATCCATATCTTTGTTTTTATTACCTCATATTATGGGGGTACATATATTGTTATGGTTACATATCTTGCCCCTGCCCCCCACCCCCACCCTGCTATGCCAGAGCTCCAAGCATGTCCAGCCTCTAGGTGGTGTGCACTGCACCCACTGTGTAAGTACATACCCTTCCCCACTTCCCCCCTTCCACCTGCCCACCTCCCGATAACAGATTTTTTTAGACATTTTGGTTAAGGGTATATCTTTGCCTCTCCCTGAAAAGGGATAGAGGTAATCCCCTCCTCCCCACAATGCTCACCACATCCTTAAGATGTGGGTCTCCCCCCTGAATCGCTGTTGAACACTACCAGTTTTTGAGCACCCTAGTTTTAGTCAGTCAGTACCAATTTGATAGCGAGTAGATATGTAGCCCATTTTCCAGATCTTGTGTCGTCTCACTTTGTATTAGGATCTTAAGCTTAATCTAGGATAGCATAAATGGTGCTAGCTCACTGTCATTTCTTAGGATTGAGTAATATTCCATTGTGAGCATATACCACATTTTAGTTATCCACTCATGATTTGACGGGCACTGTTGGGCTAGGTGTGCATGCCCGTGCAATAGTGAATTGTAGCTGCCATAAACATGTCGGGGCTGCAGATGCGGTTTGGATAATAGAGCTACTTTAATGTTCTTTTGATAGATGCCCAACAGAGGCCTATTGCGGGTGGGTCGAATGTATTTCAGTGTTGCTAGCTGTTTGAGTATTCTCCAAATGTCGTTTTCGTGCAAGAGTTGCACTAATTGTCGGAGTCCACGCAGCAGTGTAAGGGAAGTGTTCCTGTCTCACCACGGTCCTCGCCAGCCATTTGTGGGGGTTTTGGGATTTCATGGAGACAGGCCATTCTTACTGGGTGAGGGTGAGATGCTCATTTGTGTTTTGATTGCAACAGTGCAGAAGGGCGAATCAGGATCCCACCTCTCACCTCTCACAAAAATTCACTCAAGGAGTGGATAACAGACCGTAACCTAAGGCACGAAGCTTGAAGAATCTTAGAAGAAGATGCTTGGAAAACCACGTATTCAGATGAGTTGTTTCGTTAGGAAGAAGTTATTGTGAGGAAGACCCCCGAAGGCCAATCACCGCGTTGCCATCAAAAAAAAAAAAAAAAAAAAAAAAAAAAAGAGATCTGATCAATTAAGAAAGTTTTGCTGCACTGCCAGGAAACGATCATCAGAGCAAAAGACAACCAGCAGAGGGATGAGAAAGGTGATGTCGCGCTCGTGACACTTTCTGATAAAGTTCTAATAACAAGAATCTAGTCTAGAACTTAAAAGAATAAACAAGAAAAATTGAACAAGGGCCCCATCAAGAAATGGCAATGGAAATGAACAGAAACTCTCAAAGAAACAGAATGAATGGCCTGGCAGACATTATAAAAAATGTGTTGCAACGATCTCTAAGTCATTAGAGAAATGCAAAGAGAGAACAAAGTTCGTTATGCTTGTTGGCTGTACGGTGTTATCCGGTTGAGAATTTTTTTGTTTGTTGGGTTGTGGTTGTTGTTGTTGTGTTGTGCTGCCCATTCAGAGTGTTTTTGTGAGTACCCGAGGTTTCTCTCTCGTCGTGCTCGGTGTCTCTCTCTCTTGTGGTATATGTGTGTGTGTGTGTGTGTGTGTAGTGTGGTATGTTAAATTTCAAAATAGTTAAGAGGGGTACAAATGTTTGTTGGTCACATGATAGCTTTGTATAGAGCTTTAAGTCAGGCTGGTTAGGTGCTCCAGGTAACATTAGATGAAGTGGAGCATTGTAGGCTTGTTAGTAGATTGTGGAACTCTCCCGTACTCCCCCCCCCTTCCCTTCTGTGCTTGATTCCCAAGGAGCTTTAGTTTCTCGTCTCGTGCACATGTGGTGGCCGCATTGATAGTTCCAAATTATTAGAGATTATATGTGGTCTTTGTTTTTCCATTCCTGGTATACTTCTTTTAGGATAATGGTCTCCAGATCCATCCAAATTGCTGCAAAAGACATTAATGCATTTCTTTTTGTGACTGAGTAGTACTTCATGGTGTGTGTGTGTGTGTGTGTGTGTGTGTGTGTGTGTGTATGATCTATATCTATATCTCACATTTTGTTAATCCACTCGTGAATTGATAGACACTTGGGTTAATTCTACATCTTTGCAATTGTGAATTGTGTGCAATAAACATTCCAGTGTAGGTGTTTTCTTGACAAAATGACTTCTTTTCCTATGGATAGATACCCAGTAGTGGCATAGCTGGATTGAACAGTAGGTCTATATTTATTTCTTTGAGGATTCTCCATACTGTTTTCCACAGAGGTCGCACTAATTTGCAGTCCTACCATCAGTATATAAGTATTCCTATTTCTTTGCATTTATGCCAGCATCTATTGTTTTTTGACTTTTTAATAATGGCCATTCTGACAAGGGTAAGGTGATATCTCAATGTGGTTAATTTGCATTT